AAACTTATAAGCAGAAAGAGAAAAATATCAGATTCAATGTTTTATTATGGGAAAAATGTCAACTTTCCTACGTTTTAAGACCAGGAGAGAGACCTTAGTTGATGTGTTGCAGACTTATAGGGAAATTATAATTAGGACGGCTAATCGTCTTACAGGATTTCATTATATTTCTTTCAGCACTTAAATTAATAAGTAACAATGGTTTGTCCTTCTTAAGTCCCCACAAGATCAAAATAAATATATTAGAATCCTGGCTCGCTTTATGGTATATTTAGGCTGTAATTATTCTTAATTACTTATTTTCAAGGTATGATATTGTTACATTAAGGTATGATGTTGATATTTCAAGGTATGATGCAGACATATCAAGGTATGATGCAGACATATCAAGGTAGATATGTATATGTATGTATGTACATACGAGTGTGTGTATATATATATATATATATATATATATATATATATATATATATATATATATATGTCGTGCCGAATATGCAAAACTGGTCAATTAGCAAGAACTCATTTAAAATTAAGTCCTTTCTAAAAATTTCTCTTATACGTTTAAAGATATATTTTTTTCATTAATGCTAATGTAAAAATTTTTAATTTTCCTCCAAAAGAATCTTAGAAAACTTACCTAACCTTATTATAACAAGAACAATTTATTTTAGCCTAACCCAACTTAATATATTTTAAATACGTTTACAGTAATTTAATACTAAACAAACACAATCAAATATATTTTTTTCGTTAGGTTCAGAATGATTTTGGCGAAATTATTGCATACACAAATTTTCACTTGTCCTATATGGCAAGATGATCGTTGCTATTTAAGCCAAGATCGCAAGTTCTGCCTATTCGGCACGACATATATATATATATATATATATATATATATATATATATATATATATATATATATATATATATATATATATGTACATATGTCGTGTCTAATAGGTAAAACTGGCCAATTAGCAAGAACTCATTTAAAATTAAGTCTTTTCTAAAATTTTCTCTTATACGTTTAAAGATATATTTTTTTCATTAATGTTGATGTAAAAATTTATAATTTTGCACCAAAAGGAACTTAGAAAACTTACCTAACCTTATTATAAAAAGCGCAATTTATTTTAGCCTAACCCAACTAAATATATTTTAGATTTGTTTACAGTAATTTAATACTAAACAAACACAGTGAAATATATTTTTTTCGTTAGGTTCAGAATGATTTTGGCGAAATTACTGCATACACAAATTTTCGCTTGTCCTATATGGCAAGATGAGTGTTGCTATTTAAGCCAAGATCACAAGTTCTGCCTATTCGGCACGACATATATATATATAATTGATGGTAGTTAAACCGTCGAGTGTCACGTCAACAACTCGGAGAGAATGAGTGCTGGAATATAATTTTACAGTGTAAACGTGTCAATCAGATCTGGTTTCCATTGACATGTAAATACGTTGAAATTTGCTATGGATTCTATTAGTTTATTAGCGTTCTAATGCATGGGGAATGAGTTTTATGTGTAATATTATCTTTATTTCAGTTTATAGTGTGGTTCAGAAGTTTCATGTGTTGGAAGGCAGCCAGGTTTTCCTGGCCTCGTCTGACTGATCGCTTGTGCTTAACTTTTAGTTTTTCCAAGCAGCGTCCAGACTGGCCAGTGTAGAGTGACTAACAGTTGTTGCGGTGATGCTGAACACTAACTAGTAATTTAAGGAATACTGAATTCTTATAAGAACATAAGAAAGAATGAACACTACAGCAGGCCTACTGGGCCATGCAAGGCAGGTCCAAGTCGCCTACCGGCTTATGATACTGACCCAACCTAGTCAGGTCCAGGTCACATCCACTTAATGGAGGCACGGCATCACTCCTTCGAGCACAAGCTAATCAGTTTCAACTCACACCCACCTACACCCACTCATATATTTATCTAACCTATTTTTAAAATTACACAACGTTTTTAGCTTCTATGACAGTACTATGATTTTTAGAAAAAAAAATTCTCTATTTGTTGGGGAACGAGAAACATTTTTCTGTTATTTCATTCAGTATTTTGGCTACTCCTTGTATTTTACTGTATTTTAAAAGACCCTAAATGCTAAGTCTAACTAGTGTTTTCAGAGATACTGAATTCTTATGATTTTTTTGGAAAAAAAAGTCCGATTTTTTTGGGGTACGAGAACTCTGTTTCGATTATTTTACTTTCAATATTTGGGATACTTTTTATGAGGAGATATATTCAGCTCAATGTAAGTGTAAAGATATAATTTAATAAAGCCAATATTGGTAAAAGTTTGAAGTTGATTACAAAAGACATTCTCCAGTAATTAGCCTGATTTGAACAATTCCAAGTTTTTAAACAATTTCAGTAAAATTTCAAATTTGTATCCACTCGGACATAGCTTATGGAGTATCATCTATCACAGTGCATCATCATTAATATTCTGAGGTCAATCAGAAAAAGGATTCATTAGTTATTGAATACAAAATAAATATTATTTATTCGGTAAAATGGCCAAAGTGGGATTTTTGTCACCCAGTACCAGGATGATTCTTGTGTTCTGAAACCACGATCAGAAGAATCATTCTCTAGTTATCGCACGGATTTTAACGATTCTAAGATTTTTTAATATTTTTCTATGTCAACAAGTTTTCCTGCAATCAAACGAAACTTACCAGGTACTATCCTGGTCTTAGATGCGTCAGCCATTAAATATTAAAGTTATTCAGAAGAGGTAAACTGGAAATGGCTTAACGTGATTTAACGAAACACAATTTTTACACTAATTTACACCTGAAGTGGTCAGATCTTCACCTACACATCTGAATTTCACTTTCCGTTATCGTCGATTTTCTGACACTTGTTTTGGAACATTTGAGGCTCCGCCACAGACAGTTTTGAAAGTTATCCGAGCCTTGAAAACTAGTGTACTCAGCTTACACACACTGAGGTTCGTGGTTCGATCCCCGGTACGGGTGAAGACATTAGGACGTATTTTTTTAAGACACCTCCTATCCATGTTCACCTATCTGTAAAATAGGTACCTGGGTGTTAGTCGACTGGTGTGGGTAGCATCCTGGTACAAGATTGACCCAATTTTCAAGAAATGTTCTGCATAACAAGGGACTTTCTATATAATAGTATGTCATTGGTGCCAGCTAGGCCTGTATATCTTGTACTTGTAGAAGTAAAGATTATTATTATTATTATTATTATTATTATTATTATTATTATTATTATTATTATTATTATTATTATTATTATTATTATTATTATTATTTTACTATTATTATTATTATTATTATTATTATTATTATTATTTTATTATTATTATTATTATTATTATTATTATTATTATTAATTATTATTATTATTATTATTATTGCAACTGTTCCAATAATTTCGAGCAATGGTCACCACACAGCACATCATCACTGAACCAATAATTTCCATACACTTGGTGTAGTGATGCTGAGTGGTCATCACACCACACCAGCCTTTCTTGCTCCATCGTGCATCAGTTTGGTAAAAGTTAGAGCGGTATTAGATGGGCCCGTAACTCTGTATCACATCCACTGCCGTAAATATCGATATCTCATGAAAGCTGCCATTATGATCCTTCTACCGCGGGGCCTTAAGGCAGAGTTTCACTTGCAGGATCACATAAACAAGCGACATTAACTCCACAACCTAATGCTGTAAATGAAATAGTCTTATAGTTTGGAATATTCTTAAGTCACCTTGGCCAGAGTCTTCTAATGGCTGAGCTTCATAAAGGAGAAGAAGCCTTTTATTTTTTCCTCTTCAAGAGCCAAGTAGAGCCGAGTGTAGTCCTTAAGAATCTTCAAGAGCGATGAATGACGCTGGTGATGGACACATGATCCAAAGAATTAGAGCTGCCATCAGTTTCCTTACATCAAACTCAGTAACTTCATATTCCCCAGGCGCTCATAGGCCCCGTTTAAGTTTAGTGCTTCAGCTAGGAATATAATTATAATAGTACTTTAGAATCCTAAACTGCCTTCTTCAAATTTTTCTAATAAAAACGAAAATTTATTTGCATTCTGGTGAGTTATTACCTGTCAAATATTCCTCACGTCAATGAAGAGAATCTCAGCAGTATGTTTCTGTAGAAGTATGAGAGACGTATGTCTGGTTCAAGACTGACGCATGGAGGATCGAGCCTACACCACTCCTGGAAAGTTACGTGATGCTTGTCCTCCCTTACCTTCGATCGAATTTGGTTGTCTCCCATCCTCAAGGCGCTGGTCTCAAATCTTTAGTTCAAAGGAATACGATATATGCACAATGCACATAACGGATTTAGTGCTTCTCCAAGATTATAATAATAATAATAATAATAATAATAATAATAATATTATTATTATTATTATTATTATTATTATTATTATTATTATTATTATTATTATTATTATTATTATTATTAATGACTGGTAGCCAGCAGCTACCAAGGAAGATACTACTATCTTGCAAAGTGAGTGTGAAAACGAAACCTGTAGTTGTTTTACATGATGCTAGGATTGCTGGTGTCTTATTCTGTCTCATAACATACAAAATAACAATTATATCTTACTCCTTCTATTTACACTTAGGTCATTCTACAGATACATGTACACATATATGTATACACACCTATCTATTTTCTTAATAGTTGTTGTAGTTCTTTATTTCCTTTCATCTCCATGGGGAAGTGGAAAAGTTCTTTCTCCGTAAGTTATGCGTGTCGTAAGAGGCGACTAAAATGCCGGGAGCAAGCAGCTAGTAACCCCTTCTCTTATGTAAATTATTACATGTAAAAAAGAAAACTTTCCTTTTACTTTTAAGGTCACCCGGCCTCGGTGGGAAACAGCCGGTAAGTTGAAAATAATAATAATAATAAAAATAATAATAACAATAATAATAATAATGTGAGTCCAGAAATGTGTCTACTTGATTTCAGTGGGTGCATTTCGTCTTTTGTAGGTATGATGGTTAGAGGAAGTGATGTGAGGTGTACAACACCAGGGTCTGGTCACTGAGGACCCTCTCACAGGACTCCTGACGATGCTGTCGCCGCTGCCTCCATCCTGCTACACCTCGAACTGTACACTGCAACACCTCGCCAGGACCAGCCTCAGGCGAGGCGGCAACTGATTAACACGGGCACTCCATGAGTGTACAGGGGCGACGGCCCGTGTGCAGAATGTGTATCTTCAAGGTCTCCCGTGTGGACGCAGCTTGGGCAGTGCTCGTCCTAGTGCTTCTCACACCTTTAGCAGGTGAGTGTTCTGTTCTCAGAAGGTGAAGGTTCTTAACAGGTGAGCGTTCAGTTCACAGAAACTGAAAGTTCGGATTTTAACGGATGAGAATGCGGTTTTTAGGTGAAAGGTACAGTTCTCAGCAGATGAGTATTCAGTTGAATTTACCAGGTGAGTCTTCAACTCTTAGGTAAGAATTTGATGTATAACCCTAATGAGGTAGTCACGATTGTGGGTCCTGAAACAGAACCGTGATAAACCTAATGTTTACTTCAGTAATTGTTACCTTAAATGTTCCTCAATATCAACAATACATTCTGATTAAAATTATTATATTCTGATATTTGTATATCACTCAGTACAGCTGTTTAGTTACACTAGAGCCTTTGGTCGGAGAGGCCTGAAGATCAGTTAGGTAAAGTTTCCTGATGCGAATCTTAGTCATATTTTAGGTCATCTGAGCAAGGCCTTCAACTGGCTTAATGGTCCATCCTTTAAACAAATATGGTTATAATTATAACGACTGGTAATTTTTTTGGAGATTAATTCTCCAGTGAACATAATAGTCCTGACCTGGTGCAGTGTACCCGACTATAATGGATGATTTTCTTTAGAAATTTGCTTCTCTAGGGTTCAAAGGTGAGTGATTTATATAAATATGTTTTTCATAACAGTGAGTTTTCGAGTCTTAGCAGGTAGGTGTTTGATGTTAGCAGGTGGGTGTTTGGTGTTAGCAGGTGGGTGTTTGATGTTAGCAGGTGGTTGTTTGATGTTAGCAGGTGGGTGTTTGATGTTAGCAGGTGGGTGTTTGATGTTAGCAGGTGGATGTTTGATGTTAGCAGGTGGATGTTTGATGTTAGCAGGTGGGTGTTTGGTGTTAGCAGGTGGGTGTTTGGTGTTAGCAGGTGGGTGTTTGATGTTAGCAGGTGGGTGTTTGGTGTTAGCAGGTGGGTGTTTGGTGTTAGCAGGTGGGTGTTTGATGTTAGCAGGTGGGTGTTTGATGTTAGCAGGTGGATGTTTGATGTTAGCAGGTGGGTGTTTGGTGTTAGCAGGTGGGTGTTTGATGTTAGCAGGTGGGTGTTTGGTGTTAGCAGGTGGGCGTTTGGTGTTAGCAGGTGGGTGTTTGGTGTTAGCAGGTGGGTGTTTGGTGTTAGCAGGTGGGTGTTTGATGTTAGCAGATGGGTGTTTGGTGTTAGCAGGTGGGTGTTTGGTGTTAGCAGGTGGGTGTTTGATGTTAGCAGGTGGGTGTTTGGTGTTAGCAGGTGGGTGTTTGGTGTTAGCAGGTGGGTGTTTGATGTTAGCAGGTGGGTGTTTGGTGTTAGCAGGTGGGTGTTTGGTGTTAGCAGGTGGGTGTTTGGTGTTAGCAGGTGGGTGTTTGGTGTTAGCAGGTGGGTGTTTGGTGTTAGCAGGTGGGTGTTTGGTGTTAGCAGGTGGGTGTTTGATGTTAGCAGGTGGGTGTTTGGTGTTAGCAGGTGGGTGTTTGATGTTAGCAGGTGGGTGTTTGGTGTTAGCAGGTGGGTGTTTGATGTTAGCAGGTGGGTGTTTGATGTTAGCAGGTGGGTGTTTGATGTTAGCAGGTGAGTGTTTGGTGTTAGCAGGTGGGTGTTTGATGTTAGCAGGAGGGTGTTTGGTGTTAGCAGGTGGGTGTTTGGTAAACAAATAACCCGCACATAGAAGAGAGGAGCTTACGACGACGTTTCGGTCCGACTTGGTGTTAGCAGGTGGGTGTTTGGTGTTAGCAGGTGAGTGTTTGATGTTAGCAGGAGGGCATTCGATTGTTATCCTGCGCCGCAGGCTTCATCAGTGAGTACAGGGACGAATCACAGTCCTGGAGAAAGTAGAGGATGTAGAGAGGTAGTCTGAAGTCATCAGTCCCTCTGCCTAGTGGGACTGGTTACTTCACTGATTATGTCACTTTCCAGTGTATAAGTCTCTGGTCTCGTGCATTTATTTTAGGATAAGATACTGATTTGTCTTCCAAGGCTGAGGGACTGATTACCTCAAACAACGTCTTTGCATCGTCTGCCGTCTCCAGAATTGGAATTAGTCTTTGTATTCGACTGAGGAAGCTTAAGGTGCAGGCTGTCGTCAATAAACATACTGTTGTAAGTCTTACTCATCGAGAATTGTTTAGTTATTCCTCTTTAGAAAGAAGTTAGTATTGCTTAGTTACCCCTCGTGATAGAAAAGTAAATATTACTTAGTTACTCCTCGTCAGAGTAGATCACAATATCTCCTGGTCATAACTAACACTACACCAAGTTATTTTGGACATGTAAAATACAGTTGCAGAACACTGCTGATATAATCAGTTATGCTAATTAAAAATAATTCTTGCGTGCCACAATGAACACTTCACCATTACCGTACCTCTGAACACAAGAAAATGTATTGAATGCAGTAAGGAAAAACACATCATTAAACTCTATAATGATGAAGATTTACAGACCGGCGCGAACCACAAGAAGATCATTTCACTTTACCAATGAAATTCCCAGAAACCAATAACTGCTGTATATCCAACGAAGAAGGCAAGATGAAATGAAATGAATATCAATAATTCTACAGTATTTATGCTACATTACCCTGGCTGTAGAGATAAATGGTTTAAAATACCGACCGCATAGAAAAATAAACACAAATGTGACTTAATAGAGCCCACTATGTGGGGGAAACATTGTTAATAAAGGATCGCATAATACTGCATTTGTATTTATTTTTCCGCCTTGGCTGTAGGACAACACGACGACCATTCATGCGACTTCCTCAATATCAAGACCATAACCAACATAAGTTGTACAAAAAATTAGGCAATATATATGAATCTCTCAAACATTCTACCCAAACACACCTGTGGAAAGCATCACAACTTTGAAACATTTTAAACCAAGATCAGAGGCAAATTACATCTGCAGATAAAAAGCATTTAACTCAAAGTGTGAACTTGCAGAAACCAACGCACCTTCAGAACAGTCTACCTAGTAGGTTAGCTTCAAATATAGGTTAGACAAATACATTAATGACAGGGGTTAGATTCGAGTGGAACTTGTGCTTGAGTTGACAGGGTTATCAAAGCTTATTCCTTGGGCAACATTAATAATGGGTTGGGAATACTTTTTAGTGGGTTTGGGTTTGACAGGGATCTGCCAAGTATGGGCAAGTACACTTGCTGCAGTGTTCCTCCTTTCTTATGTTCCAAGACATAAACAAATAATGTACTGGAATAGTGTACTGGAATAGTGTACTAGAATAGTGCATGAAATAATGGGAGATATTCTTCATGCTATCTTTTGTGATACATTCTCTAAGGAACAATCAAATACTAGAATAGAAATAAGATGTAAGGCCAGTTAGGCTGGTAGGCATCAAATTTGTCAAGTAGAAGTGGGTCATTAAAACTGTACTTCACCTCTACACCAAGAGTAAAAATTTCAGTGAATCATTAAAAATACAAAAATTTTACTTCCACTTTATATTCCGTGAAAGTTATAGTCCTCTCTGTGTATGTGCACTAAGACATAAAATGAGAGGTACACTCTTATTAGTGTATGTACAGTGAGAGATACACTTCTCTCAGTGTATGTACAATGAGAGATACACTTCTCTCAGTGTATGTACAGTGAGAGATACACTTCTCTCAGTGTATGTACAGTGAGAGATACACTTCTCTCAGTGTATGTACAGTGAGAGATACACTTCTCTCAGTGTATGTACACTTCTCTTGGTGTTTATACGCTGTATTGCATGAGAACAAAATCACGAAAAATTGTGCGAATATAAAAACCAAAATAAATATTGCGTACGTAAAGACAAAAAAGATTGCAATATATAGAGGACAGTAAAATCCATGAAAACGCTTTAGGACCACTAATATTTAGCCAAAATAACGAAAAAATCCGTGTCCGCTAGGGGGACTGTTCACCTGATATTGTTCTCACTTCCATTCTTGAACATTCCATAACTTCACCTTACCCTCTGCCGTCTAATCTCTCCCTGTACTTCCAGTCTAAAATAAAAATATATATATATACATAGGGTGTGCAGGGAGAGGCAAACTAAGTGCAGGGAACCCAGGGAGAAGTGACTGGTGAGAAGGAAGGAGATTGTGGGGAGAGAGAGGTAGAGGGAGAGGTAGGTAGGTAGGTAGGTAGGTAGGTAGGTAGGTAGGTAGGTAGGTAGGTAGGTAGGTAGGTAGGTAGGTAGGTAGGTAGGTAGGTTGGTAGATAGGTGGGTAGGTAGGTAGGTAGGTAGATAGGTCGGTAGGTAGGCAGGTAGGTAGGTAGGTAGGTAGGTAGATAGGTCGGTAGGTAGGTAGGTAGGTAGGTAGGTAGGTGTGTTGTCGCACCAGGGTGGAAAAAAAATTAATATGGAAAACAATCTGGGGTGATGTGTGAAGCCACTTGTGCTCTAAGTGATAGGCAGGGTGTCGTCTATACGAACTAATGGATGTAACTTGAATTAAAACCATGTCCTCAAAATAAAGTGAAAATACATTAAGGATAAATAAGACACAAATTATATATATATATACATATTATATATATATATATATATATATATATATATATATATATATATATATATAATTATATATATATATATATATATATATATATAGAGAGAGAGAGAGAGAGAGAGGAGAGAGAGAGAGAGAGAGAGAGAGAGAGAGAGAGAGAGAGAGAGAGAGAGAGAGAGAGAGAGAGAGAGAGAGAGAAGAGAGAGAGAGAGAGAGAGAGAGAGAGAGAGAGAGAGAAGAGAGAGAGAGAGACAGAGACAGAGACAGAGACAGAGACAGAGACAGAGACAGACAGACAGACAGACAGACAGACAGACAGACAGACAGACATAATGAGTGTGTGTGTGTGAGCTTGAAGAAGTGAGGGTGTGATAGTGAGTGAAAGAGAAAAGGGAAGAGTAGAAAAAATGAGGATTAACCCCCTGGAAATCAAATAAGTAGTTACACAGCATCCAGAGAAAAGGAAATCACAACAAAGTAGGGAGGTATATATATAAGAGGGGAG